TTCGAGAACTCTTGTTGTATGAAATGGACTAAGTATTGTAAACTCATATTTATTATTGAATTCTGGATGAAAAATATGGATTGTTCGAGTTCTCTCTTGTGCTCAATGGAACCGAAATCATTGATGTAGCTAACTTCTCGGTGCTTAGTGTCACTCAGGAAGTTCTTCAACGTCCTCTCGACGGCACTTCCTCGGCGCCTCGAAAACGCTCGGGAATGACGACTGGGTTCTCGGTTTGCGATCACAGTATGATGTAATGCGTGTAAGTGCCTATGCAATCGGTTCGCTCTTCTACTACCAATATGTTAAGTCAACATATTTTATTAAATATTTTACCCCTTACCCGGCTACAAGCATATGTCATCTTCTTCTCGCTACCAATATGTTAAGTCAACATATTTTATTAAATGCTTCAAAGATACACCAAAGCTTTACTAATTTCTTAATCACACTTAAGGCAACACTTGCTTAAACCCTAATTAATGGCTTCCCTATTTTCTGATGCTCCTGCCATACTATTTGGGCACTAAAAATTTCATGACATTTGGATAAGTAAACTATCCTACACAAAAATGACAAGCTATAGCATAAACATGAGCATGAACTTACTTTGTACTATGAAAAGTGTCAAACAACAGAATTAAGATTCTAGCAATAATCACTATACAAAAAAAATACCACATGCATGTTTTATACAAATTTTGCTCTCTAGCAAAATAACAAAAATCGTCATCTAAGGTGGTCCGCAAAATTTTCCACCTAGTTTTTTTCCTAGGAGGTTCATGACATAAGAAGGACATATTTTTCAAGTTATCAGCATATTCAAGCCTCCTATCGAAAAGCGCATGCACATCTTCCAAGTATATCTGATGATAAGGAACCTAGCAAAATTTGTTTCAACAAATTTGGAGGATTCTTCAAACCATTTCAAATAAAGAATAAATTGAAATCGCAAACTCCGTCATGATGATGCTTGGCAAGAGCAGCATAGCCCATCTCGGGTGGCGCAAAGCCGCCGCCAAGGTCGTGAGAGTCCTCCTCGCCCTTTCTTGGTGCCCCACCCGACCTTCCTCCCCATCGTTGCCCCTAGCCGCAAAAGCTTCGGCGAGCAGTAATGGCGGGCGGCGCGCTAACGTACCGGACTCCGGCCTGCCGGGAGACTCCGGATGGAATCCAGAAGAGGATCCGTGTTGAAGCTCGCAGTGCTCATGAAAATGCTTCGACGCTGGGGCGAGCGAGACGGCTGCTCGCCATGCGATCTGCGGGCGTGGCGGGTCGAGGTCGCTGCTCAAGTGTTCTTGGCGAAGTTGCATTCGGGAGCTTAGCACACCTCCACCTTCACTCGATCTGGATGAGAGCGGCGCCATGCCACCAAGGTGCCCAGGGGAGCGAGGAAGGAGGAAGCACGAGAGAGGCCGTAGGGCTTTATTGAAGTACTTTTAAAAGTGTTTCAAATTTGGAGGAGACCTCTTTTGAAATGTACCAAAAATGAAAGTTGCTTAGAATTTAATTCCACCATGGACCACAACCAAATTCTTTCTAGATTTTGAATTGGAAGATCCACCCACCTCAAACGCGAATTTATTTTGAAGCCAAATTTTGAATTACTTTGAATACAAACATTGCTCCAAAAATTGAACTAGATGTCCTCAAAACTCCCATGAAGGGCTTATTCCACTAAAGGGAATATTACAAGGAGATATGGAGGGTGCCTAGGAGAGGAGGAGAGGGGGCTTTAACTCACCGGGCCTCCTGCCACCATGTCATGTCCACCCACCTCCAGCGCTGACCGGGAGGAGGAGGGAGAATGTCCTCAAAACTCCCATGAAGGGGCTTATTCCACTAGGGAATATTACAAGGAGATATGGAGGGAAGGGAGAGGAGGAACTAGGACGCTGTCTCACTCAGGAGCTTGCGGGCCGTGGGTGGTTTGGCAATTGTTGCGAACTTTATGTGCAGTACTTTTAGAGATTGTTATGCAACCTGGAGAAAAGAAATAGAAAGAAAGCTTTGAGCGGTTGAGCCTTTTACTACTTGCTAGTTGCAACGCTAGGACAACTATTTAGCAGAGGAAATGGAAGTATATATCAGACTCATGAAAACAGTGTGAAAATAAAATAGCAGAGGACTCTGTATCCTTGCAGTACCTAGCTACTGCTGCACCGTTCAATCTCTCTAGCCTGCCATAGAACATCAAATGCTCTCGGCCAGTTAGTGTTTCCCACAGTAAGCTGCATGGAGAATATAAAAAGTAGTAGTGATCACAAGTAAAAAAACATTCCAAATTAGATGGTAAGACAAGAATATAGGCCATGTTAGCTTCTCTTATAATCCGTACTTTTCAGCTTGTTTTTTTCAGTCGGAACAGTGTTTTTCTCTCACAACAAATCTGCTGGAACAGTGTTTCGGCTTTTTTTTTCAGCGAAGCGAACGGGGCCATAGTTCCAAATCTTGTAAGGGATTTTCTCTCATTTTGAAAAAAGTGGGGAGAATAGTGTGTGAAGAGCTGCAATTATTCAAATTCTGGACAAACACCTATTCTTGTATAAATCTCGCCGATGTCCGTTTGTATGTCCATTCTATCCATATAAGCCATACTAGATGTAGGTTTAGTAAATCCAGTTAGGGCTGAAAACGGTCGAAAATGATCGGTAGGAGACCAAATCACTTTCATTTTCACATTATTTTTCTCGAAAATGAAATCGATACGATATTGGGGGAAACGAATACGGTGTTGATATTCCGATAATTTCAGAAACGAAACTATTTTGTTCGAAAGTGCATCGACAACTATCGAAAATCATCATAGTGGTATCTGAAATACGATAGACACGTCAATCTGCAGCGCATGACAATAGCTATATAGCTTAGCACATAGTTATACTTGATACAAAAGAACCAGAAGATAAGCCCACAACCACAAGTTCTGACGTCCTGGACTTAAGAGTTAGATCTCACGAGCACACAAGCTGACAGCCACATAGACATATTAGCTACTCACAAACTTACGTACCAGTACATCGTAACCGAACCAATGCAGGTGACATGATTCTTGCGTGGCGATAAGGGTGGCAAGGGGAGCGCTCAACACTCAGCAGGCTAGGCCTAGTCTATGATTCAGGAAGAGCGAGGGATGGCGTTGTGGGCTTGTGGCCTGCCTGGGATACGGTAATTATCGACGATAGAATACTGGCCAATTATGGTATTTTTCAAAAAAGATCGAAAGTGAGGCAAATCATTTTCATTTTCATTACCGTATAGTTTTACCGTTCTCATTTTCGCTTCCTCGGTTACCGTCATCGCTTCCATTTAGGAGCAAAAGTCGGTAATTTTTCAAAAATGATTCCCGGTAAACGGAAGTTACCGTTTTCAGTCCTAAATCCAGTAAGATGTTGTCAGGTTAAGAAAATTTGGTAATGTAAAGTGGCAATAAAAAATCAATCCTATTTGCACATGAGCAAAAGCTAAAAATAAACCTATGCAAAAAAAGGGTGCAAAATCATGGGTTATAAATAAATTCCTACATGAACCTCTGAAATTGATGTCCCCTTGTTTAAACAGATGTATGGCTGCACTCTTAAAATTGTTCAAAATTTATTGAAAAAGGGATATTTGAATTTCATTTTCCTTCCAAGAGATTAAAATATTACTGTAGATAGCAAACATAACATTAACATGCTACTTCTGAAGGTCAATAAAAGGCTCAACAAATTTACTATACAAAATATATGATGTACACAACACGCCAATGAGAGAGGTTTTCCAGCACCATTTACGACAAGAAGTCCAAAACATTGCCCTTGATGGATAGAAAGTGAGAAGCCTTTGACAGTAAATTTCTCAGCATTTACATCTTTTGGAGGGTAAACTTTCCTAATGTTGTCAATTATGACCGAATAACTACAATCTGGTGGTTGCAGCCCTCCCTCCCTCCCTCAAGAAAAAAAGGGGACACCACATCATAATGCAACAGATTTAGTGAAAAGACATTCATGCAGGAGTAATTTCAAACAATACAATCAGTAACAAAATTTAGTTTACATAATCTCACACTATATACAGCATCCAAGCTTGAATGTGTGTATCTGCTGGGGAGGGGGACTAAAGTATTAAATAGATCAAGTTAAGCATAACATTAAAATGCATATTGTTATGTGTTGAGGATTACTGGAGGGATTAAAAGAACCATTGGAGCTCTTGCTAGTGTCTTTGTTGATAGATTGTATCTTTTTATATATAAGGGATTACTTGACCCCTATGGAACTAATGAATTGAGATTAATAAACTCTTAAAAGACCATATATAAAAGACAAAAGAGAAAAAAAAACTTTCAAATGATAAAACCTAATACCTAGGTCACTTATGGGCACACAACTGCGTCTTATGGATGTGGGTGAACCCTGAACAGTATCTGCAGCTGCTCTTCTAAGCCCTATGGCCCACATAACAGAACACATGCAGATAGAAAGATCTGGGCTGCGCCTCTCTCAAAATATATGTCCTGTCTATTTCAATTGAAGCTTGAAACTCTTGAGGCTGTGTGGACAGCTTGTTAAGGGTCTGATGGCTCCTGTCTGGGCGAGAAGCTATGGACAACTTTCTAATTCCATTTTGGAGGCAACCAAATTCATCCGAATACGATGTCAACAAAAGAAGCGTAGCCCAGTCAAGTACCATTGTGATTAGCAGGACTAAAATTCCATTTTCAGGATCACTCAAGTCTCCCAATTGTCCACTAAAGAAGTTGGGCTCAGACTTGAGGCAATCCTTGCAAGTTAATAAATAAACTTGTAAGGATGCCATCACATCAAAAGTTCTTTCTCAGAAGGGAGGCAGCAAGATAGAACCTGAAAGAAATATACCACTAATTGAACATTTAATAACACTTAAGTCAGTTACCAATAGCAAAATGCTAGAACATTAGATTTCAAAACGACTGACCATGGGGATGAAAAACAAAGCTTGCAATAGGTTCCTAATAGTACTTCCCAGAACAAGTGTCAGCTCTCTCTATTTTCGCCTGTCATCTTATACAGCTGTTCCCATTGGTTTTCTCCAGCACGGCTCGAAGCAAAAGCAGCAGCAAGCCCTGGAAAGCTCTCCTCGTAAGGATGCACGTATCGTCGTCGAAATATATCATCGCTTATAGAGGCAACAGAAAAGAAGGTAGGCTTGTCATTGAACAGCCCCTTTGCCCTGAGAAAATTCATCAGACAGTTCCGTGGCAGCAACCGACGTTCAATGCTATAATTTATCAGCGTTGGCCTTTGTGCGATGTATGGTACCTCCAATCCAACAACCCCGATCAAGAATTCCATGCTTCTTCGAACCCTTTCCTCGGTGAAACCCAATATATTCGGGTCCCCCTTCACCGCTGATACTATATGATCCTTTGACCATCCAAGCTTCTCAAACAGCTGTATACTCTTGGTTATCCTCTCACTGCCAAGGATTGCAAATGTACAAAGCCCGCGGAAGAACGATTGCGAGCCCTGCTGGATTCTAAACTCATGAAGGCGAGCCAAAGCTTCCTGCAGGTTCTTAGGGTCCGCGGTGAGCACCCGGGACATGAAGCTGTTGGGGATATCAGAAACACTTATACCACATTTCTGAAGGAGCGCCAAGTTGGGCTTGCACACCTTCTCAATGCTTTGGCTGAGGAGAGCGGCGTTAATTCTGAGCGCCTGCATGAGCTCGTCGAGGGAGCCAAAGAACGAGATCCAAAACTCAAGATTGAGGCGAAGCGAGCCGTGGCGGAAGTGGTTCATGCCAACGATGAGGAGGCGGATAATCTCTGGACGTGACAGCCCGAGGTCGGTGAGCTCGGCGACGCGGGAGGTGAGGGTTCTCTCCACGTCGGAGCAGAGGACTTTGGGGTCTCTGGTGACGGCGGCGGTGACCTCGGCGCTGGAGAGGCCGAGATTGGAGAGGAAGGCGACGACCGCGTCGGGCCTCGAGGCGTCCTTCAGATGGGAGATACTCTTCGACGCCTTCAGGGCCTGGGCTCGGGTGAGGCCGCAGGTGGCGACGAGGTAGTCCTCGACGGCGAACGGGGTTGCAGCGACGCATTTGGTGGCGGAGAGGAGGCGGTGGGGATAGAAGAGAGGGGAGATGTGGGGGCAAGGGCCGCGGGTTCGTGTCCGGGTGAGGAGGGAGATCATGCGCTTCCGGAGGTGGATCATGGCGCTCCGGCGCGGCGTGCCGGCGTGAGGGTTACCGGTGTCCGGCGGATGGAGAGCTGGACTTCGGTCTCCTCTCTTCCACTGTGTCATGTCAAAGGCCGAAGGTGGCTTTCAGTCGAGCCGCATAGAATAGGCCCAAATCTGCATGTGCTCAGAGCCGACAAGATTAGCAAAGCCCAGGCCCAGCACATATACCTTCGGTCTCCTCTCTTCCACTGTGTCCCAAACGCTTGAAACCCTCCCGGCGGCGGCGGCGGGTACCGCCAGCGGAAGCTCCCGGCGCTCTCATCCGGTGAAAGAAAAGAGGGGAAAGAGACAGGAGCCGGCTCAAATGGACAGCGGAAGCGATTCCGACGGCGCCCCAGAGGAGCTCACCGCCGTCCAGGTACGTCTAGTCCTCTCCCCTCGAGGACCCGAGAGTAGATTCACTATTACGTACGATTTGCTTGTGTATTCCGCTCAAGCAGACGATGGATATATGCACAGATAGTCCCGTAAGAGGATTATACAGCTCTGTGCCGTCGATTTGGTTGGTCGAGTACTTTTTTTTTTGGTTGGATTAGGGTTGTTAGCTAGCCTTGCCGGTCATCCTGTTTGTTCTTCACACTTCGAGCTCCATGTTGATATATGTAGAAAATACTGAGTGCTGTGCCTTGTTATTGTCTTTTAGGGTGTTGAGAAGCACGAAGAGATCAGTAAAGTTGAGAAGGACAGTGCTATCAGGTGTGTTTCTTATGCTTACTTTACAGCTGATGACTGGATGGACCTTCTGCTGCCCAATGTGCTACTTTGATCTGTTCTTGTTTCTGTAGACTGTACGCGAGTAGATGCCACTTGATGCTTGCTATGGAGACTAGTTCTGCTTGTCTTCGTGGACTATGCTAGATTCCTTAGTGGTTCTCTTGGTTTCAGTAGATGCAAGTGCCATTACAAATTTTGTTTTGGACGGTAACCTAATGAAGTTGAGATGCTCAATAATCAGGGAAAAGTATCTCCTTGTACATATTTGTTAGTAATGTTTATGCCTAAATGTAGAGCTTTTAACGTTTACAGTTTCTTTGTTTTAGATGTTTATATAGTTTTCTGTATTACTCATGGTGTGTTCCTTGGCCATCCAATCCAATGGTATAACTGTTATTGATTTGTGGGTAACCTTTTTGTGTAACTCATATGGATTACCTATCTGAATCTTATTTTCTTGAGGTCATCAGGGTGCTATGACTTTTTTTATTATCTGATTTCTGTATCGCAGAGATAATAATGTCATATGGGCATGTGGGATGTGTCCTTGCAGAGTAACACGGGAAGGAAAGGAGCGGAGGAAACGTTGGGCCCAACGAAGAGCATCCTCTAAACCAGATAAGAAGGCGCCCAAGGAAGTAGAAGATGAAGATACCAAACAAAGTGAGGAGAATGAGGAGACAAATACAATGCTTGGAATGCTCCCCACTAGTGTAATTGAAATTCTTGCAGCTCGTGAGAAGTATGTGCACTTCTCTTGCTCAATCATTTTTTATTAAAATCTTTGTTTTTGACTTCGACTTCATTGGTTACTTGGTCTTCATCTTACACTCAGGCAAACCTTCGCATCAGATTCTGAGGAAGAAAATGTAAAGCAGAAGGTTCAGAAAAGGAAGAAGAGAATGAAAACTGATGGGTATGTTTAATGTTGCTGTCATCAAATATAAAGTTTGTGAAATGGTACTTATGCTAGTGGTCGCTGTGTTTATCAGGCCTGAAACTATTCTGCTGAAAGATGTCCGGTCAACACAACACGTGAAGAATGCCCTTGATTTCTTGGAGCAAAGGAAAAATCGGGTTCCAAGATCAAATGCAGTTTTGAAGAATGCCAGTAAGGCTTTGCGTCTCCTGTCTTCAAAAGGCAATTTTTTAAGTTAAGCGTGTAGTAGAATAGCACATTTTCTGAATATGTGTTTAGACCATCATCTCAACGGCAGATATGGTCAAGAGACTTTGGACCGATGTGTTTGCATGGAATCAGTCTGGCATGTGAGATGTGATGCAGTATATCCTTTGGTGTGGAGATGTGATGATTAGCACACATGTGAGTTTTAGTTATCTATTTTTATGGATTTGTGCTGCAAATTTCTAAAGAAAATTCTGAAAGATTTCTAAATTTTGATACCAATGTAACACTGGTTGTATCAGACTATCAGAGGTTGTCTGTATTGACTTATTGTATACTTTTGCTATTACCGTTCGTCTGGAAATGTTTTACCGGTGCTCTGTGGGTGCATTTCTTTTAGCATGGTGATAGCACATTTTTTTCCCTTTCTTTTTCTTTTGATAAGGATAGCACTCTTAATTATTACTCCCTCCGTCCAGAAAAGAACGCAATTATGGGAAGCGTGTCGGTCAAACTAGCACAAGTTTGACCAAGTTTATAGAAAGTAATATTAGCATTTATATCTTTAAATAAATTTATTATGAAAATATATTTTATAACTAATCTAACGATATTTATGTTGTTTCATTAGTGTTAGTATTTTTTTATATAATTCTAGTCAAAGTTTGATTGTTTGACTCGGATGCGAGAATTGTATTGTTTTGTGGACAGATGGGGTATATTCTTCCTCATCACAGTACGTTTGTTCTGTTTGTAGAAGGACGAGTCAAAGAGGATTTCTTTAAAGTATTCGAAAAAGATTGTATGTGTTACGAGTATTGTGGTTGATCAGAACAATGCAGAGCTCCAACATTGAAAACGAAATATAGTGAAATAAATAAGATTAGGACAATAGACCAGAGGAGTGATTCCGTATGACCTCGAGCATGAGGGTGTACAAGAAAATGGATGCATATGTAATATGTTGCCAGTCTCAGTATATCTGATACAAAGGAGGTTACATAAGACGTGTGGTTCAACATTCTGTCACAAAAGGCTCTAGATATGCAGATTTTGTAGTTTGGAGACCCTAGGTAAGAATGATTACTAGAAATCGTGGCGTAACTTACTCTCTTTTTTCTAGGGTGCGGGACGTGCTTACAGGGTGGTTCATCCACAAAGATATAGACCACAGTACCACCCATCTTTAGTCTATCGCTAATGCTCTGGTGAGGGCGTCCGTCCGGGCACCCCGTTCCTAGGCCTGACGCAGTGATTGGACCCGACAAGGCAACAGGCCTGCCCCTCCATCACTACCTAGCGACCTTTTCTAAAAAAAGACAGAAATTCCGCATTCGCTGGCGTGTGGCTTCACCGCGTTGTCCTCGCCGCCGCGAGCCGCGCGGCACCCTCATCCCACGCTGCGCGCTCCATCCCTCGCCACAACACCTTCCAGTAACACGGCCTTCCTCCCAATCCACTCCGCGCCCGCTGCAGGTGCTCGCCCTTGCCATCGTGCTCATCAAGGATGCTCGTGGCCTTGTGCAGGTGGTGCTCGCCCAGGTCGCGTAGTGCTCGCTACTCCGCTGGCGCACCGGCGAGCTCCATGCACGGCCGCCGACTTCTGCACCAGCGTCGAGCTCCACAATGACGAGCTCTATTCGTCCAAGCAACAAGGTGGCATTTGCGCTGAAAACGCATGTTGCAAGCGTATGTTTCAAGTGTTTTAGATGGTTTAGAGGTATATTGCAAGTGTTTTGTATGGATGTTGCAAAAGTAGATCGAGATGTTGCATATGTTACCATTGTTGTACACGTATGTTGCAATCGTTTGTTCCCAATGTTTCATTTGTTTTTTAGATATATGTTGCAAGTGTGTTTATCTGGATACTACATATATTTCACACATATGTTGCAAGTATTTTATCTGGATGTCGCGTATGTGTTGAAATGGTTTTTAAGTGTTTGTTATGTTTTTTGCAAGTGTTTCAGACACATATTTCAAGCGTTTCATTTGTCTTCAGATGTATGTTGCTAGTGTTGTATCTGAATGTTTCAAAAGCAGATCGGGTGTTGCATTTCCCTCCTTGCCTTCTGTTGCCTCGCCTTGGTTTCTCCTCCTCGTCTTCTGCTACCTTGCATCCTTCTCAGACTGCGGAGGGGGCATAGTGGGGGCCGGTGGAGGGGGTGCACCACGGGATGGCGGAGCGGACATGAGCGCACGCTCTCCCTTTTGTGTAGGTAGCGCTTCGGTCCCTTCAGTTTTTCGGTTATGCGGCATGCTAAGATGAGATGGTCCTATTGGTGGACGATGACGTCAGTCCACGTTTCGGTTGGCTGAGCGGGTAATGGCCCCGTTCGCTGGTCTGAAACTTGGCTGAAAACACTGTTTCGGCTGGTTTGTTGTGAGAGAAAAACACTGTTCGACTGGTTTGGTGAACAGTAACTTAAGAGGGGAAGCAGCCGGCTGGCTGGTCTGAACCAAACCAGCGAACGGCCCCAATTTTGCGTGTTTCGTGAAGGACATTAGTTTTTATATCAGAACGATTGTTCATGATTCATACTTTCATTTCTTTAATCACTTCTGTCGAAAGTTGACGTGTCTGGAATTTTGGAGATGATTGATGCTTACAAAACGAGCGTGTGTTCTTTAATCCTGACTCGACACCAGACATCAGAGCTCGAGCTTGACATGGCCGTCAAGCTCCTGCCATACTTGCTGCTGCTTCCTCTCCTAGCCGTACCGCTCTTCTTCCTCATGCTGTCCCGCGGAAGGGATGCCCAGCGGCGCCTCCCACCGGGGCCATGGGCGCTGTCGGTCATCGGCCACCTACACCACCTCGTCCGCGCGCCACCGCACCGAGCCCTACATGACCTAGCGCGGCGCCACGGCCCGCTCATGATGCTCTGCTTCTGCAAGCTCCCCGTCGTGCTCGCCTCGTCCCCGGACGCAGCGCGTGAGATCTTGAAGACGCACGGCGACGTCAACTTCGCGTCACGGCCCGTCGGCCCCATGCTGTAGATCGTGTTCCGGCGGGGCACGCAGGGCGGACGTCATCTTCGCGCCCTACGGCGCGCCTCGACTCCTTAGCGCTCGACGCGTGCACTACTTCTGCGTCATCCGTGAGCACGAGGCCCACCGGCTCCTCAGACCC